GAACCCCTCTAGGTTTACAGGTTAGCTTTGAACCCTCTAGGTTTACAGGTTAGGTTTGGACCCCTCTAGGTTTACAGGTTAGCTTTGAACCCTCTAGGTTTACAGGTTAGCTTTGAACCATCCAGGTTTACTGGTTAGCTTTGACCCCTCTAGGTTTACAGGTTAGCTTTGAACCCCCCAGGTTTTAACTTTAGCTCATTCTGGACTGGTATTGGCTTGCATAACGCTCCCATGGAGGATGAATTCTGCGCTCAGTGGTGCTCTTTCCTTCACACTGTGGAGTCCCATCATGGACCCAGCAGAAAGCCCATCAATGTGAGTTGAACAGATCACTGGTTCTTAGAGCCTGAAGTTCCAGCTATGAGCAGCAGTATAAACCATTAGAAAATTCTGAAATGGATCGGTCCGACCGATGTGAAATGGATCGGTCCGACCGGTGTGAAATGGATTTGTCCGACCGATGTGAAATGGATTTGTCCGACCGATGTGAAATGGATCGGTCCGACCGATGTGAAATGGATCGGTCTGACCGGTCTGAAATGGATTGGTCCGACCAGTCTGAAATGGATCGGTCCGACCGGTCTGAAATGGATCGGTCCGACGGGTCTGAAATGGCTGGCTCAGAGACCCAGAGTGGCAGTCTGTCGGAGTGGGACTTGGACTCAGAACCTCTGGATTCCAAGCTCTATGCCCTAACCATTAGGCCACCACTCCCCCAAACAATGACTTCCCTTAAATAATCTGACCGATTTGTTCATTCCTCCTTATACTTCTTTTATTTTCAACTGGTGAAACATAGAGAATCAATGTAATGTTTTCTGGCCTGTGGGTTTCTCTGGGCTGAATCAGTGAGATCATTTCCCATCTTCTCTTCTAGGTATTGCCTGCATTGCCTTGTCCTTTGTGGATGCTGAAGGGCAAGCCCTCCAGGCTGCAGCTCAGAGCAGCCCCCCCACACCCAGAAGTGAGCCCTGCCCCATTCCTTTCCACCCTGAACATTTTGAGGAGCTGACAACCGTGATGAAAGCAGAAAACATCAGCTCCAGATCAGGTACCGAACCCACATTGACTGGTTTCAGGACAGAACTCTGGGACAGAAGATTCTTTTCTATGGCATCACATTTATTTCAAAACACCCACCAGCAAAATAAGCATACTGGCATGTATGCTAAACTATTTCTGCTTATGGTTTATCTACCACCATTCCACAAAATCAGACATGCACGAGAAACTGCCGCTTTAAGAGGAGAAAATCGTTTTCCGCATGGCAGCTACCCCCAGGCACGCTCTGCATTGTGCTCGGGATCTCACAGCTTGCACGATTTTCTATCCAGCGGCCTCCTGATTGGGCCTTCAAAACATGATCACATAGGAAGAAGGGTCAGGAAGCCTTTGACTGACAGTGGCGGAGGCTTCTCCAAAGTTTGTGATACATAGGTGGTAAGCGTCAGTCAATGGCTTCCTGATCCTTCTTCCCATGTGATCCTGTCTGCAAGGCCCAATCAGGAGAAGACGAATGCTACGCTCAGACCGCACACAGGAGCCAGGAGCAGCTGTGATCAGCGGGTAAAAGTAGTTAGAATCTATGTTGAAGTGAGAAAGTCCTCCTGAAAACATGGTCTGTGCAGTCAGTTCATCCAGATTACCATCCTGCCTTCAAAGATTATTTCTCTGTGGGAGCCGCTCAGACCCCCACATACCGGCGCTGCGCTGTCACTGGGAATCCAGTTCAACAGCAGCCTCTGGCCTGGTCGCTTCATCGCGGTTTTCCGCTAGTGTTCACAACGGCTGGAAGTAGATGTTAGCGTTTTTTACTTATGTAATCCAAACTAAGGCACCAAATTAATAATTAATATTTTACCGGCAGGTACTTTAATAAACGTTAAATGCTAGACGTTAATAAACAGTTTCAGAGGAGTGATCATAGCGCTCTGCATCAGCAGTGCTGCGTCTGACTCCCTGCCAGATCCCAGATCAGCTGCTCTGATTGGTTGATGAGGCACGTCCAGCAGCAGTTAAATTTTTCCAACAGCTGAAGTGCATGTTCAGCTGCTTTAGGTGCGATCGTAGCATCACAAGAGGTTTAACTACACCCAAACTGTCAAAACACTTTTTCCCTCGCACGAGGAGAAAATCAGTCTGAGGGTAGAGATTCCTTCGATATTGCCGCTGTCCTCAAGCGTGGCCGCTGGATAGCTAATCTTGTGTGCGGTGAGATTCTCAGCGTGGGATGAGCTGGCGCTCCCGCAGAGTGATTTTCTCCTCTCGGTGCAGTTTCTTGTGCATGTGTGATTTTTGTTGTGCGGTAGTAAACCATGCGCAGCAGTAGTTTAACATACATGCCAGTATCTTTATTTTGCTTGCTTTGAAAGTCACCACCCCTCTGCTTGGTCTCTCTCCCCAGCCCAGCTTTATGTGCGCTTTGACATTTGGGAGCAAGGGAACATCAGCCCCTTACAGCTGAGCGATAAACTGCAGGGGGCGCTGCGCCATGCGCTCTGTGACGCCATCATGGAGCTTAGGGTCCTTCCCAATCCTCTCTGTGTTGGTGTCCAGAGAGAAGAAACTAAAGGTAATCATTTCTACAGAAATCAGCCTCCAGATTTCATCAGACATGTTTGCAGTTGGAGACGCTCCCACTGAGCCTTTAGCAGACGCTCACAGATCGGAGGTTTTATTCTTTTTGTCTGATTTGTGCTTTTGGAGCCATTTGAGCAGATAATCTCTGTGTTCTAATTGGCTAAAATATGTCAACTTTCCGACCTGAGATCAGCTGTTCATTACTCACTCCTCCACAGTCCCACAGATGCCATGGATGCCCCCAGCCTGAGCTCTAGAACAGGTGAGGGTAGCCACCCATCCTCCTGTCCATCACCATCACAAATGTGAGCTCATGTCCCTTCAGGGTGGGTTGATTGGCTGCAGAAACCAGGCTACAGCAGCTGGGTTATGCTAACTGAGCCACGGCTAACCATGCTAACTGTGGACACACATAAATATGGATGCTCTGCAGTAACAGATTACAGCTGTTAGCGTGGTCCACGATGTCTCAGGCAACATCATGGACCACGCTAACAGGTGTTCACAGAGCGGTGGTTCCCCGCAGAACGCATGGCCTTTCTCTATCAAAGGCCCTGGATAAACCTTGATCCAAAAGCTTTACACATGATAAAAAGAGAGCCTTCAGATCAGAAAACCAAGAGGAGCTGAAAGCTGTGCAGAAGAACCTGAAGAACAGGGGAAAAAAAACAATTTTATTGTTCAAGAAGGAATTGGTCCCATCGTCATAGTTATCAGTCCAGAAAACATCAGATGATCAAACAGGAGATGCCTTTACCATTTTATTGGTTTGATGATTTATTTTTTTGATAACAAGGTTTACAGGTTAAAACCAGATTGGATCGAAGTCTCCATTGGCTTCAGTTTGAGGACAACCTTATGTTCTCTACATAGTGCAAACAGCTGGCAGGTGCCCCCCACACGAGAAAACACAAACAGGAAATATTACCCGTTTTCACTTTAAAACCACGGCGTGTTAGGGCCAGGCAAAAAAATTATATATAAAGTCGTAATATTACGAGAATAAAGTCGTAACATTACGAGAAAAAAAGTTATAATATTACAACAATACAGTTGTAACATTACATGAATGAAGGTGTGTCGAGGATCATGTGAAGTTTTACTTTGGCTTCGGTTTCACAAATAAAAAATCATCAAACTGGGCAGGATGTCAAAGTGGACTCTGGTTGCTGATTGGTGGAGCTGGTTGGCCGTCATCTGCTGGGCGGAGCTCCAAGCTTTCTTTATGAAACGGACTGTTTTTTTACTTTATTCTCTATAATCTATATCTATTATGACTTTATTCTTGTAATATTACAACTTTATTCTTGAAATAAAAAATCTCCAGCCTGGCCCTAATACTTCATCGTAGAAATAAAAATGGTGCCATTTCAGAAAGCTCATTGCGCTCCCCACATGTAGCCTCTCTGCTGTTCCTCTTTCAGAGATGAAATCAGGGAGCGATCAGGTAGTAGCAGCTGTTGGCGGTCCAGCTGATGCGGCGACACACAGAGTGGCATCATGGGAAATATTGGAACCGTTGCAGAGGGAGAGCTGCTGGGTGGGAGGAGGGAGGGTCCTAGTGGTCTGGACCCCGCTCAGACTGACCCACCTGGAGGAGCCACAGGTTCTGGTTCCTGTTCTCCCACCTTCAGAGCTTCTCTGCTGGATCTGGTTCAGCTTTGGTCCAAATGTATTCATTCCCTCCAGAAGCTGACCTGCTTTTTGTGGTTTTCTGGGTAAAGTTATTGAACAGCTGGTAGCCGGTAAAGTTAAAGGTGACAGACTGACCGATGTGGCAGGAAATGTTTCATCAACATACTCAGACTTTTCTACTCGCTGACTTTTTAGTTTCACGTTGATTTAACAATAAAACCTGTCTAAAATGATAAGCTGAGATCTGCTGCTCCCATCTCCTCCTGGGGAGACCCCTCTGTTGCCGTGGGGACGATGCTGTGTCCCACAGGTCCAGATAAAGCCTGTTAGAACTGGAACGGATCCGCTGGTTAATGGGGTGTCGTGTTTCCAGGAGCCTCTCTGGCGGAGGTGAAAGAAAGCAGAGACAGCCCCAGGCAGCGCAGCGGCTCACGGGCCTTTAAGGTCTGCCCCTCTCCCATCAGCCTGACCCAGCCTGCCGGCAGCAACCCGCTGACCGGTACCGGCACCTCAGAGTCCACCACGCCCACCGGTAAAAGCACCCGCCGCAGCTTCTGGGACATACTGGTGAGTTCTGTTAGGTTCCGTCAGCAGAAACCTCCTCTGTTGATAGATAATCGGTTCTGGGAGCGACTAGTCTGGCCTGCCTGTGAGCAGAACTATCTGTGTCTCCCTTCAGAGCAAACCCGACTCGGCAGAACTTGGCATCCCCAAGACCACGGATGACATCATCCAAGAGAAAGGGGAGGAGGGGCGGGCGGCGCGGCGCAGACACAAGACGGAGAACGTGAAGCAGCAGTGGAGTCAGGAGAGGGCGGCGGAGCTGGAGCAGGCTCAGAGGTGAGTAGTCCTGGTGGAACCGGGCCGCCGCAGAACCTCAGAGTCCTCTGAGCCTCAGCTGCCGCTGTGTTCTGGTTCCTCAGGAGGCAGCTGCAGGAGGGCGACACCGGCACCCTACACCCCGTCTACCAGGACTGCTGCCAGGCATGGATCAGCTTCATGGCCAAACTTGGTGAGTTTCTGCGGGTCTGCAGAACCGCTACTTTACCCTCCTTCCTTCACTTAGCCCTCCTCTTCCTCTTCCTCTTCCTCCTCTCCATCACTGGCTCCAAGGCTGCCCCTCCATCCAGCAGTGCACGGCCGGCATTGCCTCCAACTTCCTGCTGCCCTCCATCCTGACGGAGATCTCCAACCTGGTCAGCTCTCTGGCCGCTGACACCACGGTGAAATCCTTTGAGAGGACCAGGTGAGCAGAGGCTCCAGTAGAATTCCCAGGTTGTGAGGGTTCTGGTGGAGTCCAAATGGTTTCTGACTCTTCGTACCGGGGCCTGGGTGGGTGCTGGTGGTCACAGAGAGGGTGGGAATGAGGGGCTTTAGGGAGGTTCTGGTGAGAAGCTCTGTGATTGGACGGCTGCTAGTGGAAGGTTTTAACCGTCTGTCTCTGACCTCGTCTCTCTGGTGTCTTTTGAAGCTCTCCCTCTGGAGATGTGTTCGTCCCCGTCCTCCTGGTCCAGCAGCTCAGCCACCCTCCAGACGCCAAACGCAGCTTCATTCTCATTGGACGAAACTTCCACCAGTGGCACTGCTGCACAGAGCCAGGTGAGCTCTGCAGCCGGCTCTCCTTGGGGGGCCGTCCACTGCAGGGCCCCTCTGGGGGGAGGGGTTAACTGAAAAAAAAGGAAACTGAGCAGAAAATGTTTTATTTCCAGTTTCAAACTGCTGCCCCTCAGTTTGGGGGCGGGGCTTCCATGACGACAGTTCAAGTATTCCCTTTTTTGCATTCAGGTTGCGAGGAAAATAGGGATGTCTGGAAAGCATCAGTCACCTTCTATGTTTTAGGTTGTAAAGCTGCTGCACCTAAGCTGTCAGTTATCATTCCTGCTCATCTAAGCCCCGCCCACACATTGCGGGGCAACAGTTGGAGCCCTGCAGTGAAAACTGGAACCTGAAAAGTAGTTTGAATGATAGCTTAGATGTTCGGTGTCCAGCCAGATGTTTTGAGCAAAGGATCTGTCTCCAGTCTAGCTTCCTACCTCATGAATGCAGATGTTTGTGCTGCTTGGAGGCGCAGGGAGCCTCTCTGATGCTGTTTGTGTTTCTCTGTCCATGCCAGCTGTCTAACTCCCTGCTGTTATTTTGCAAACATGAGCTTCCATCCGTTTGTGTCCAGCTGTGTTTCACTGTCCATCTTGCCTTGCTGTTTGTCCCTCCTCTGTTTGGCTGCAGACGACAGTTCAGATGAGGAAAGCTGCGCAGGGCTAAATAGGTTCACACGTAAGTTTGGCTCCTAGCTACCAATTCTGTTTTCTTGGATTAATGCTGCTAATTTCAGCCCAAACCAAACTGTAGTTCCAGTGCAGGCAGGAAATGTCAGAGGCCAGTGGTGGTTCCGGTACCGGCACCAACGGCAGGGTCCTGGATCTGGTTCCTGCTCTCATCCAGCGCCTCCCAGGAAGCGTCCTTCCTACAGGAAGCAGGAAGTGGTTGGTTCAGAGCAGGAACCAGCCTCTGGTCACTGACCACTGGATCCGTCTGCGTTGTTCCTCACTGTGCTTCCTGTCTCTGCCACCCAGCTCTGAAAGGCTTCCAGCGCTTCGAGGCCCCGGAGCAGAGCGACTCCCTCAGTCCTAGCCAGGCCGAGGCAGGACAGGCCCCCAGGCAGAGGTTCCTGTTCATCAGCATCCAGGACAAAAGGGTACGGTGAGGAGGACCACTGGCAGAGGGACATCTGCGTCTCCCAGATGTTCACCATGCAGATGTGTCTCTCCGTCAGGTGACTCTGTTCAGCTATAACTGGTCCGTGGATCTAGGCGCCGCCCTGAACCGCGACTTGGTGCGTCTGGTGAAGTGGCAGAACGCCAGGGCTCACGTTGTCCACTGCCTGTTCAACCAGAAGATGGGCCTCTTCCATCACTTCTGCTTCTCCGACGCACCGCTGCATGAACTGGACTCCAAGCTGGTAGGTGGACGAACCAGTGGCCTTACTGGGATGAGGGTCATCATCCTGTTCTGGTTCCAGTAGAAGGTGTTTAATACCAGGATACCATGTTGGATCAGAAACATAAACGGAAATCACTTCCATGTTTTTCTTGCTCTAAACATAGAAATGTTGGAAGTAGATTGTGCTGCCGCCCGAATGCTAGTTCCTGTTAGCGTCCCTCTCCTCATTCTATCCCAGCCAGCCTGTTGCTGAGCATCAGGAGGTGATGCTGGACCTTTGTTCTGGTTCTGCTGTTAGAAGCTGATAAACAGCCTGGTTCTGGTCGTCCTTCAGCTGCTGCTGTTGTTTCTGACAGCATCTTAGATTTAGTCTCAGTTTCATCTTCAGGACAAAAACTGTTAATAGTTTTAGTCGCATTTTAGTCATTACGATATCTAATAGTTTTACTCGGTTTTAGTCAACTGAAATTCTGAAAGGTTTTATTCTAGTTTATGTTGCAAACCTTTACAATTTGGAATAACAACCAGATTCTATACCAGACTGACAGCTCTAGACTAGATGCTACTATAGCTGGGTATAGAATGCTTCCGTGCAGTTCATTATTGCTGTGATTTAAATAAACTATTTTATTAGTTAATGCCCTGTGTTATAAAAAAGTGTCTCAGAAAAGCTGTGAAAATAGCAGATCTAGTTCAACACATCATATTGGTTAATATAGCAAACAGACAAGCTGACAAAATGTCCAATAAAGGAAAACGAACACTTCCTGGTCTACTGTGAATTATACCCCCACCAACCTCCAACATGGACCAGAACCTCCAACATACTGGAGACACTCCAACAGAACCTCTACAGAACCGACTGGAACAAAAGGACAGTGGGGGTAGTGAACAGAACAGCTCCCAGAAAAAAATCCAGTTGGGGTTCTGTCGCTTGGCAGCGCTTCATGGCTGATGAGGACAATTGGAGCAGCAGCAGATTAGCCTGGACAGAGCTTCATCTGTTGGGGGCGGGGCCTGTCCTTCAGCCTGGGGCCGCCCTGTTCTGTCACATCCACTCAGCTGCTCCTTCTGAACAGATTTCCCTCCAAAGAGCCTCAGAACAGAATCACATCAAACACCTCAGAGATGCTAGATCAGCCTCAGCCGGATGGAAACCCTAAACATTTGTTTTCTGTCTGTAAATCAGAGACCACTAAAGGGGGCGGGGCTCAGTATGACTCAACAGATTGAAAAGTTGAACGCACCGCAGTCCATTAAAATATAAATCATGGAGATATGCAGCTGAATCAGAACTGTAGAAAACTACAACATAGAATGCACCACCATACAGGATTTAAACACTTAAGGCAGTCGGTCTTTTATTGAAGGAAAATAATTAGATGAACAGATTAGAGATGTAGATCAGCGGATCTATTTAGTTTTTACTCTATTAAAATGTAAACAGTTCAACCTTCCAGTTCCTCCAATTAAACAACAGTCTGGATGTTTGAAACCACTCTGGATGATGAAAAAGCTAAATGATGAGAAATGAATTTTCTTAGATGTGTGATGGTCACTGTAATAAAGAGGCTGCAGTTAAACACGTTTCCTAAGATTCTGTGATTTATTCAATCTTTAATTCCCATAAAATGACAAAAAAATTACTATTTACTTATTCTTTTCAAATGATGCAGCTAAAAGCAACGGGATTTTTAAAAAGTTTCAGGAACTGATGATTATCGTTCTTCTGCATGGAACGTTTAGAAAGCCTCCGTAGAACCTTCAGGTCCGGAAGAAAACATTTTGGTTCCTTCATCTATTTCTGCTTCCTGTGATGAAGCGAGGAAGTTCACCCAGAAACACGACAGACACTCGCTGAGCCCAACGCTAGACGTCTACCACCCCCCAATAAAGCACGGGAGAAACTGAGAGGACCAGTAACAGGACCAGTAACAGGACCAGGACCAGAACCAGGACCAGTAACAGGACCAGTAACATGATCAGAACCAGGACCAGTAATAGAACCAGGACCAGCAGCAGGTCCAGTAACAGGACCAGGACTAGGACCAGTAACAGGACCAGTAACAGGACCAGGACCAGAACCAGGACCAGTAACAGGACCAGTAACATGATCAGAACCAGGACCAGTAATAGAACCAGGACCAGCAGCAGGTCCAGTAACAGGACCAAGACTAGGACCAGTAACAGGATCAGAACCAGGACCAGTAACAGAACCAGGACCAGCAGCAGGTCCAGTAACAGGACCAAGACCAGGACCAGTGACAGGATCAGAACCAGGACCAGTAACAGAACCAGGACCAGCAGCAGGTCCAGTAACAGGACCAAGACCAGGACCAGGACCAGTAACAGGATCAGAACCAGGACCAGTAACAGGACCAGGACCAGGACCAGCAATGAAACCAGGACCAGTAACAGGACCAGGACCAGGACCAGCAATGAAACCAGGACCAGAACCAGGACCAGTAACAGAAACAGGACCAGTAACAGTACCAGGACCAGCAATGAAACCAGGACCAGTAACAGGACCAGTAACAGAAACAGGACCAGTANCAGGACCAGTAACAGTACCAGGACCAGCAATGAAACCAGGACCAGTAACAGGACCAGTAACAGAAACAGGACCAGTAACAGTACCAGGACCAGCAGCAGCTTCAGATTCTGCTACTGTTAATCAGAACCAGGGCAGTGATGGTTCTGAGATCATGAGGATCTACGGCGCCGCTCCTTGGTGCCCCTAAGGTTGCAGCCATCTGAAGCCTCTCTGCTGGTTTCTGTCCTGCTGATGGAACCATCTGCCCACAGTCTGTTCATCTCAGAGGTTCCTCAGAAGCTCCAGGTTGGTAAGGTCATCTGACCGATTGGTTCTTCTCTGCCTGTTCTCCAGGATCCAAACCCGTTCCTGGGCCCCTCCATGGAGCCCGACGCCCTGCTGCGGAGCGCCGTGGCCCCATCCCCCAGCAAGGAGCAGGGGAGGCTGGGCGGTTCTGGCCGCAGTCTGGCTCCGCTCCATTTCCCCTCAGAGCTGCTGCCCTTCGACGAGGCTCTGAGGGACGTCTGCACCATCAGGCCCCTGATGGAAGGAGACGCTGTGCTTCGACACGGGAACCAGCTTCTGGAGATCAAGGCTGCCGAGCGCAGAGGTAAGCCGCCTCTGCAGGAACGTGGGCGCTCCTGGTTCTGGATGGGGTTCTGAAGCGTCTGTGCTGGTTCCTTCAGAGATGGAGAAGCAGATGAAGATAGAAAACCTGTTTGTGACGTGGCAGCAGAGGTCGGCCCAATCTAACATGCCCATATCTGTGAGTATCCCAGCTGGACAGAACCAACCTGCACCTGATGGAGGCTGGTGTCACATCTGAACGGGTCGGTCCAGGAGCCTGAGCCGGCTCCAGTTAGTTCAGCTGGTCCCTCTGAAGTTCTGTTCCATCTTAAAAGTTCTGTTTGGTTCTGTTGGCTCTGTAAAGTTGTGTCCTGTCCTTCAGGGGACCGACCTGGACACTCTGAAGCAGTCCTCCAGGCTGGTCCACTACTGCGCCACCCCGCTTCTGTTTGACCCGGGCTTCAGGAAGCAGATCCAGGAGGAACCGGGCTTTGAGCCCGTGGTGAAGGTTAGTCCTCCCTCTGCTATGCAGGCCTGACATTTCAGAACCTTCATCTGGTTCTGGGTCTGTTTGCCGTCTGGACCTCATTTGCTTTAGATCAGATTAGCTTCACTGAGGTGGTTAGCGGCTGCAGAACAAACCCAGACTGTTCCAGGCTGTTCCAGGCTTTCCAGGCCGTTCCTCCTGAACCCTCCGTTCCCACCCATTCCCAGAAACGCCATCGTTCCAGCGACTCCACTGCGTCGGGCCGAGATCGGAGCTGCAGCACGGATTCGGCCGACATGCTTCCCAGCCGGCTGAAGGAGGAGCCGTGGCTGCTGGAGATCTCCAACACCTTCCTTCAGCAGTACGTCCAGTACCTGCAGAGCATGGGCTTCATCCTGGTCCAAGTCCGGCCTCCATCTCCTGCTCGCAGGTCTGTGCTTCTGGATTCCTCCGTCGGTGGGGAGGTGTTACCGGCTGGTCTGTTGGGTACCGTAGATTAACCTCAGGCTGTCCCTCCATCCCTCTGCTAGCGTTGCCAGGGCGCGCGCCGCACTGCTCAGCTCCATGTCGCTGGAGGGAAGGATGTCTTTCTCCTACGTGAAGCAGAAGAGTGAGGACAACCCTAAGGTAATAACTCATCATTTTAATATTTGAAGATGGTTCTGGTACCGGCTGGGAGGGTGACAGCAGGCAGCGCGCCATCCCATAGAGATCCAATCACATCAGGTCACCTTATAGATCCAGATCAATCAGATCCTCCGGATTAAAGGTTCAAAGTTTCTAGCGGGTTGCATCCAGTCACGCTTTACAGGATGAATGCAAGCAATCCCTCACACTGAGCATGCACTCGGCGACAGTGGAGAGGAAGAAACCTCCAGCAGAAACATAGAGGCACAGATCTATAAAGACTTTCTATGTTAGCAAAGCTAACGGTAAGCTAGCTCCACAGGTGTCCATCTAGGAAAGAAGGTTAATCAGACAAGCTCTGATCCAGTTTGGATGAGGGATCAGATGTGGGTCAGGAGGAAGGTTCTACGGTAAAGGTCCCGGCGCTGTTCGCAGTCGGAGTCCAAAGTCACCAAGTGTGGGATTTCATTCTAAGTCACATGACCTGAGTCCACGCCTCAGGACGATGGCCACAGTTCCACTGGTGGGAACACACTGATCCCCTTTATCCTTAACATGGCTGAGCTGGTGAGTGCAGCTCATCGCTATGGCAACAGCCAGCATCCAGATACAGGAAAGGCACGGAGAACAGGTGTTCTAAATGCTCCGTCATTGGGCACTAGAACGTCCACATGATGGAACATTCCTTCCTGTGATTGGCAGGCGTCAGCGGCTGGCACCGCCTCCTATCACCTCCAGAGGGCGCTGCCAGGAGGGATCGTGCTGATGGAGCTGGCCTTTCAGGTGAGACATTTTCAGATGTTCAACGTTCTGACCCTTCCGAGATATGGGGCCCTAGGCAAAGACAGGGAGGGGAGAAAACAACACATAGAACAGCCCCATTCTCCAGATGTAGAAATGTTAATAGAATAGACATCCATTATCTGTTCTAGGTTGTGTCCCTCTCTTCTTGT